CTTATAAACGTTCTTTCTGTCCCCGCAGCGACTTTGATAGAGGAGAGATTATCCTTCCGGTGGTCACATGTAAACTTCCAACAGGGCCGCAATAATTATAAGTACTATTAATCGGTTGAGTGATTAAGGGGGCACGTGAATAATGATGATAAAAACCATAAATCAACCTTTTTGAGAGATTCACTGGAAGAGAAACATTAATGGTTGAGAATATGAAAAAGGTCGATCATGCCAAAAATTGAACTGGATTGGTACTGGTATGATTAAATTATTAATGATAACGCGTAAGTCAACATCTAAAAGGGAGCAATAAAAGTCAAATGAATCAAATTGACACACGATTTGATTGTGGACAGAAAGGTACTTTACACAGGTCAATTAGAAGTGTGAGTGAAACGGGAAAATTTCGAGTGACATTGCAAGGTTAGGCATTCAATATCATTCAAGCAGTACTGAAAAACAACATGAGACTTGCTACACCAGGAAACATTGACACATGTGATAGCCCCGCATCCACTCTTCTTTCTTCCGATTCCACGATCCGTTGACACTGAAGTATTCCCTTTATCCTTATTCAGCTAGGATTCTTGTGCGTGGACTACACAAGCGTTCATATGTATTCATGAACGGAGGACCCTAGTTAAGTCCAACGTTTTGGGAAACAGTGATCGAATGCTAGTACTAACCAACGCGGGAATGGTGATTTTGACCAGAGGAGTGAGAGTTAGGACAACTTGTCAGCCCGTGTGCCTAAGTGTTTTGGTCCAAAATGAACAATGAGAAACTGAAGTCGCACTAGCCGATCAATGATCAGTCGGAGGGCGGTCGTTTTCCTGCTCGCCACTAGAAGATGCACCATTTTACTCAACAGAATAGGTCAATGATTTACCAAGCAGCGGGAAGTTGCCTCCTGAAGTTGAAGCCATGTTTTGAAATATTTTGATCTACTATTTTAGTTAATCAATGTGTTTTAGTGAATCTTTCTTGTCTATATAAAACTCCACCATGATAAGTAATTGGATGGGCATTATTTTGTCTACTCTATACATAATTGCGGAAAATTTCTATAACGATAGAAACAGTTGGTCAGACCAGTATAATCATAAATCAGTCCATTTTAGAATTTAGGTAGTGATCGAAGGGCTTTTGGATGATTGCTTTTGTTCAATGATGAAACCCCTGATTACCGACGTTTTTTGTTACCCTACACCGATGTTAACCAGCTTTCTTCATCACTGCAACCAAGTATTCTTGATAACATTCATGATTTCCGTTCTTTGGGTGCATTTGGTGTCCACGCACCAAGGATCAACAACTTATCGCTCTGGAGATCGTGTGTTCGAACCTCCTCATCACTGCGTAATTTTCCTCAGTTTTTGCATTACATGGTAACCATTAAATTGTCCTACTCTCCCTTCCTGAATATTTGTTATGTTACCACGAGTTTAATCAAAGGAAGAAAAAGAATAAAACTAAGTAAAATAAGTGTATGAATAATTCAGTTCGGTGTGATACATTTTAAGTGTTCACATAATGTATTCTGTTTTATTCAAAAAATCTCACCCCAGCAAAGCATCTCAGAATCCAAAGAGATTTTTCTTCTAGATCTCACGTGAAGCATTCACATATATCTGCATCAGTATGTGAATACACTAAACATAGTGTGGAAAAAGTCCTTGTGTTATGAGTTCTATTTTTTTAGTAGTACTTTCCTACCTGAATGACTGTTCATTACAATCCTCAGTCACATTTGCATTCTCGCAGAACTCGCCAGTGAGGACCACGAAACAATAGGGGCTAGCGGAGGCGATGGAACCGCCACATGGCAGGAATTGAAGAACGAAGTGGCAGAGCTACGGGCCGAAGTGGCACGGTGGCGTCGAATAGCCAAGCAGGTATGTATGGTGCTCTCAAGCGTTATCTTAGCTAATTGGGGCAGACTGCTACCAGAAATTTCTATCCAATCCTCATAAGCGTCTGCTTTTAGATTCTGTGTTAGGCAACGCAATGCTTATTTTTATGAATTCCCATTTTTATTCGTCATTGTGTAAATATAGTGTACTCTTTCTTGAAACGTCTCTATTCAGCGTCTGAAGTTCCTCTGCAATCTTTTCACATATGAACTGTTTGTCGCATAGGTTTTTATTTGTACCCTGCCACTTTCGTCTGGTAACTCCATAAGTGGGTGTCGCAAACAGTGGCGCCCATGCATCTACTCATTATTCTTGGAGCATCAGTCTATAAATTCGCTATCTTCCTCTTGAATTTGCTGTCAGTATTCTAATCCTCATTCTGCTGTTTTATCCAAATGGGCAACCAAGACCGGCGCACGAAAACGTATGGTTAATGGTTCTAAGAACTGAACTGAGAACTGATACTGAACAACTGCAATCTTGAACGAGCTTCTGCTGGATACCATAAATATCTGTGATCAATGGTTTTAAGCATATACGACCGATTTACTTACCGTTCATTGGGCATTAGTCTCCGAATTCAAAACTAGAATTTATTGCCATCAGAATCAGACCAATAACAATGGATAGTTGTCGTTGTTGCAATTTGATCGTAGAACTGATAGACACCGAATCGAGTGGTTGACCTACCTGCCATTGAGGATATGGTCTGAGGATCGAATAAGAGTAATTAAAGGAAGGACAACAGCGTTTGTTCAGTTGAGGAGAGGGCTGTTCAGCGTTCACAAACTTGCATCCATCTTCAGTTCAGTTCAGTTTGTACAACCATTAACCATGCACTTTCGTGCGCCGGTTTTGGTTGCTGTCTTTGGTTGCCCATTTGGACAAAAGAGCGAAGTAGAGATTGCAATATCGAAGC